CTCTCTCTCTCTCTCTCTCTCTCTCTCTCTCTCTCTCTCACACACACACACACACACACACACACACACACACACACACACACACACACACACACACGGCTCAATACTGGGCCCTACCCTTTAGTTTAAGGGAAAATGGATATCACTCTAAATAAATGGTATTCAGAAATGACTCAGCTCTATGTATAAACACAACTGAAGAAATGTGTAAGTTCTTATGACTAAAGACATGAGTGCCCATTTATGTTGGCATTTTGTTGGCAGAACAGCAGAGTGTGTTCATGCCACCTCCCAACAGACAACCTGAAGAACTGGATTCTCACACTGCACTGTCTACACCAGAGGCCACCTTTCAAAAGAAAGAAGTGGCTAAGGTAATGTTCACCAACCTGATTCTTCCCGTTTAAACAGTATGAACATTGGGGGAAAGAAAGTTTGCTTTAAAAATAAGCTGCATGTGTGGAGAATTAAGAATTAAAAAAACAGCTGTGGAGTATCCTAACCACACCTTGGTGATGTACTGATTCTGAATAATGCTTGTGAATGGGAGCAACAAGCATAAAACTCATAAAATTCACATTTCTTCTTTTGTTATTAATTGTGACTCAAACAATAGTTACTGAGAACCCACTAAATGCCAGGCATTGTGCTAAGTATTTTGAAACAAACACTGTGTACTATTTTATTTTAAAATCTGCCCATTCTTCAAATATAATGCATTTGAGTTGTGGACATAGGTGGGAGACAGACACCCAGGTGCCCTAGTATTTCAATAAATGAACAACACTCAAGATTCTTATTTGAGCTGACAGATCCTTTTCTTTTTTTTTTTTATTTACAATAAATGGGACTCTAGTTAATGGATTTGCTAGTGGATTCTTTCTTTCCTAGATAACTCATGTTTAAGAGCATATATTTAGAGGATAGTGGAATAATATTAATCTGTCCATTAGGAAGAAGTCCTAAGACATGTTGGATTCACCCTACTATCACTTATGGGCATGGCGTCCACATTAAAGTGTTAGCTCTGATTCAACACAGCAGAGTCAGGCTGCCGCCTGGAGGTGCCCAGAGCCCAAGCAAGCCTCTGAACACTGAGCTACTCACAGTGAAAGGGTGGTAGGGGGGAGCGGGGGGAGCTCCTCGGGGTCCTGCTGGTGGAGGCAGCACGGACAGTCCTGTTGAAAAGATGCCAAGTGCGCTGAGGTTCAACCCTGGGATCAGATTCGCTTGTTGCTGGGAACAGAAATGGAGAAAAAGATGAGGGGAGGAGACCAGGGTCCCAGCTGCCTGGGTCAACTCCCATCTCTTGTCTGGATGGCACTAGTGACTCCTAATGAGCTCTGCCCTGGCCCTGTAGACCTCTTCCCCACCCGGCTGCTGGGGTGGGCTCTCCAAACCTCAACCTGGCCGCAGTGTTTCTTCAAACTTTCTCTGCCACCCTTGAGAGTATCTACACATCTTAACAGCAAACAAGGCTCTTCCTGGGGACCCAGGGCACTTCTCCAGCCTCTCTCACCTCTGGGCCCCTGCACGGTATGTGTTCCTCGTGCTCCTCACCTGGCTAAGTCCTACTCATCACGTGGGTTTCACCTGAGCTTGGGTTTTCCCTCATCTAGGAAGCCTTCTCTCACCCCAAAGGTGAGAGATACCCTTTCTGTGCTCTCCTAACATTCCTATGTTTCCTTAAAATAGCACTTGCCACATGGTATGTGGATCACCTGTGTAGGTACCTCTTTCCCTTTCAGACCCCAATTTCCTTCTGCACAGAGGCTGTCTCAGTGTTGTGTGCTCAGTGCCTGGCACATAGTTAGCACTCAACAAGTATTTGTTGAATGGATATGTTTAAAACATATTGGATCAATAGTTTTTTAATAACTCTATCCAGGGAAAGATCAGACCCTTCACTAGGACACCACATGTAATCTCCACTTCCAGATTCAGGATGGTTCACAACTCTGGCTTCTCCACCACTTAGTTGCCAGCTTCGTGATCCTCTCCCTTGCTTGTTTACTTCACATTTAAACATGGGAATGCTCACACAGGCTAGAGTCGAGGTGTTCCCCTCCCCCCCATTTTAACAGTTTTTAATGAAATTGTACATGAGGTTACTTTATTTCTGCATCTTCTCAATGGTTTCTTCTTTGCATCTGTCCTTTCCCTTTCCTACTTGGCGAGATTCGGCTCTACGTTCAAGGATCTTTGTGCGGCCTCTGTCCAGCTTTAGTCTAGTGATAACCACCATGCTGGGGTGAATGCTCACATGAAGAGTTGTGCCATGAGCTTTCTCCCATTGCACTCAGTCAACAGAGATGACATATTTCTTCCTGTAGACTTGGACCACTTTGCCAATTTGCTGCCCTTTGTAATGTCCTCACACAACCTGAACTTAATCATCCTTTCTGATGGGCATGGAGCGAACACTGCTTCTGTCTCAGCTCTTTGGAAAAAGACACAATCTTCCAGCGAAAGTGGGAAGGTGCACTGAAACGCCTTTTATGGTTCTTGCTCTGATCAGAAGTCAAAAGGGACTGAATTCATTTTGGCCGCTGCCGTTTCAGCGATGGTCGCAAAAGGGACAGAGTGGAGTTTCAACTACACAGCCCTTCAAAGGCTGAGAAACGTCGTCCACCACCCTGGCCTGTGTCCAACCTTCCCCCACCTCTATCTCCCCAAACACTAAGCAGTTCTCCAACATCTTCTATTTCCTTATCTGTGGCTAGGGTCGCCTAGCAACTCGCCTTCTTTTAGAATGTCTGGAATAGCAGAGCCAGGATCCTTAGCCTTTACCCATTTGATATATAAGATCTAGTAGTCTGGTTATTTATCCGTCAATGTGTAACTGGTACAGACATGAAGGAATCTAAGTGACAGGCTCCGGGGGAGATGATTGGAACACCCAGACCCTAGGTGTTCACAGAAAGAGATATTTATTACAAGATGTCAAGAGCCCAAAAGAAGACAATGAGGTCACTGGATGATACTTCCACAGACAAATGGGAAGAGGCGGTCATGCTGGAGTCTTATCATCATCATGTCTCGTAAGTGCCCTGTGGCGTGGCTGCTAAGGTGGGAGACCGACCTGAGTGAGGGCAGCTGCTGTGGGATGTGCTGCAGTGAGGGAATCGGATTTACCCTACACAGCTCTTTGTCAGCATTTACTCCTCTATGAAATGTTACCAGGTCTGGGATTTGCTACAAGGACATCCAAAGGGGGTGGTGAAGGAGAGGACGGTTCAGAGGAAACAAAACAGGCCATGGGTTGATAACTGCTGAAGCTAGATTATGGACATATCAAGGTTTATCATAGTATCCTTTCCTCTTCAGTATATGTTCAAAAATCATTATTATAGATAATAAAAACATTTACTGAGTTGAGCTTTGCCGATGGACAAATATTTTTAATATTTCTGATGCCAGTTTGGTGTCTCCTCATTACAAAGTGGGAACCAGATAACGATAATAGGAAAGATGAACCCAAATCAGTCTGTTGGAAGTATTAGAGCTGAGGTAGTTGACAATATTTATTGGGTAATCTAAAAGAGCAGATCAGTAAGCAAGAGATGAAAATCAGAAGTTAATTTTAAAGTATTTACATTTAAAATTGGAAAGTGAAAAAACAAATCCCACTTTCCTAACATATCAGCTATTTGATTTTTATATGTGGCCTTCTAGTCATTTTTATCCATGTTATTTTACATAACTATACCCCCAGTTATATACACTTTTATATATTCTTCTTAATTAACATTGTATTATAGACAATTTCTCGTTTTAAAATCTTCAAAGTTAGGATTTTAATGTTTTCACACTATTCTGTCCAGTGCATTTATCATGACTTACTAGTTGGTCTCCTAATTACTTTAATGCACTTGTCCCAAGAAGGCAGGAATAACTCTGCATATCTATTTTAAGGTACTTCTTCACTATATGAATGACAATTCTTCTTAGAGATGTTTGGGTTCTACCTGAACACATGTGAAAACCAGCAGAAGAAAGCATGAGGCACTTACATTAACAGCCAGCATGTCATTTTCAAAGGCCTCACGTAGCTTCTTCATTATCTCCATCTCAGCATTGGCACAGGCCTCGACTGTGCCCTTCACAGTGATGGTTCTTTCAGGGTTGTATATGCTCAAATCCTGCAAGCTGGCCACAGGGGAAAAAAAGAGAAATTTCCTTTTTTCAAAAGGAAAAATAAATCCTAGAGGATAACAAACAAGCATCGGTGGAGAAGGTGGGGAGAAGACTGCATTTCCTTACCACACACTGTATAATAGAATATCTACCATCTTATCTCAAATCTTTGTAGTGATTTAGATCATATCTGCAGTAAAATATGTTTGATTGGTAACTATTTATGCATTTGTTTTTATGGTTTTGGAGATAATTATATCACTTATGATTACATTCCCATTTTATAGAAAAGCAGATGAATGAATTGGGCATCTCAAAATGCTCAAATTCTGCCCAGCTGGTGTGGCTCAGTGGGTTAGGGTGTCATCCTGTGCACTGGAAGGTCTCAGGTTAGATAACTAGTCAGGGCACATACCTGGGTTGCAGATTCGATACCGGGCGCCAGTTGGGGTGCACACAGGAGGCAGGAGGCAACCAATCAGTATTTCTTTCTCATAGTGATGTTTCTCTCTCCCCCCCCCCTTCCTCCCTTCCACTCTCTCTGAAATCAGTGGGGGAAAAATATCCTCAATTGAGGATAAAAAAAAAAGGTGCAAATTCTCCATTACTGGGCACAATGAATCTGAATGAGCGGCTTACGATGAGATTGTTATCTTGGTCCCAGTCTCATGTTCAATTTTCTTCAAATTTCTGCCTTCTTTTCCAATAAGTCTTCCAACCAAGCCATTGTGGGCCAAGATTTTCAGAGGAATCTCTTCAGTTCTAAAAGAGACAATAAACAATTTAACATTTAAGGTGAAAAGAGCAGCTGCTTCCTAAGAGCTATTACCCTGTTTTTTTCTTACAAATAGAAACTGTTTTGTTCAGGTACCAAGTGGTGATGGGCTTTAGGAGAGGAGTCCCTTACTAATCCCAATGCACGAATTCTCATTAACATAAGCCAAGCCATGATAATTATACTCCCTTGTTGTAACTCGTTGGGAGTAAGTCCATGAGGTAGATATACCAATGAGGTATGCCAAGGAGAAGTCTGTTGGGTGACTTTAGGAAGGTTTTCCTTGTACTTAAAGAGGTACAAGGGTTAATGCCATTAGTCAAATGACAGACTAGAAACCTTCAGGTCCTCCTACCCCCACAGAGATACCAAGTTAACAACAACAGACAGGTCGAAGTACCTCTGTGAGAACCCTAGAGATCAGATGAGAAGCTATAGAACACAGGCTATTATAAAACCAAGAGGGGATGCCAGCAAAAGGGGAAGAAAAACTGTGTTATTTGGCATGCTTGTTCATGTTCCTTCCCCTACACAGCATAGCAAGGAGCAACTGAGAAGCAATCCTTCATACCAGGGCTCTTCCCTTTAAAACAGAAACAAAAGACTGGACCATTAGTCCAAAATTCTGGCTTGTCTAGGGGCTGCCCAAGAGATTGGTTTCTGTCTCTACTGACTTGGAGTGCTGACGAGACTGGCATCAGAGTTTGGAAGGTGAAAACAGAGGTAAAAACAGTATGTTAGAGCTGCAGTTACACAGTCAGAAGCTAGGGGGAGAAGGAGCTAAAAAAAGGTTTGAGAGATCAAGAACCTGAAGCCAGGCTGATCAGTGAAGTTCTTCCCCTGAATGAAGCCAGTATGCAAGGACTGAAAGGCAGTTGTTTTTCTCAAATTCCTAAATCCAGCAAAAAAACCCCAACAAGGAAAAGAAATAGGGAAACACTGACTAATCAAAGAATCAAAATAAAACTCCAGAAACTGACCCTGAAGAAATGTAGACCTATGAACTACCTGACGAAGAATGTAAAATAACTGTCTTAAGGATACTGAATGTCCTCCAAGGGAACACAGAAAACTAAATGAAATCAGAAAATGGTATGTGTATGAAATGAGAATCAATAAAGAGACAGAAACTAAAAAACAACCTAAGAAATAATAAAACTGAAGATTACAAAACTGAACTGAAAATTTCATTTAAAAAGTTCAACAGCAGATATAAACAGGCAAAAGAAAATATCAGCAAACTTGAAGACTGATCATTTAAAATCATCAAGTCAGAGGAGAAAAAAGAACACAGGGAATTATGGACACTATAAAGTGGATCAAGATACACATCATGGGAATCCATAATGAGAAGAGAAAGAAGGGGCAAAGAGCTTATTCAAAAAAAATTATGATGGAGAACTTTCCAAATCTGAGGAAAGAAATGGACAGACAGATTCAAGAAGCTCAAAAACCTCCAACTAGAATAAATCCAAAGAGAAGCACACTGAGACACATTATAACCCAACTGTCTAAAGTCAGAGACAAAGGACAATCTTGGTAGCAAGACAAAAGTGATTAATAACATACCCAGGAGTTTCCATATTATCGGTGGATTTCTCAGCAGAAATTTTGCAGGCCAGAAGGGAGTGGGATGATACATTCAAGCTGCTGAAAGAAAAAACTGTCAACCAGGAATACTGTATCTGGCAAACTGTCCTTCAAAAATGAAGGAGAAATTAAGACTTTCCCAGATAAACAAAAGCTTAGGGAGTTCATTACTATTAGAACTGTTCTACAAGCAATGCTAAAGGGGCCAGGCCGGTGTGGCTCAGCGGTTGAGTGTCACCCTATGATCCAGGAGATCCCAGTTCAATTCCTGGTCAGGGCACATGCCCAGGTTGTGGGCTAGATCCCCAGCAGAGGGCATGCAGGAGGCAGCTGATCAATGACTCTCACAACTGATGTTTCTATCTCTCTCTCCCTCTCCCTTCCTTTCTCTGAAGTCAATAAAAAATATATATGTATTTTAAAAAGAAATGCTTGAGGGAATCCTTTAAGTTGAAATAAAAGGACAATAGAAAGCAACACAAAACCATATAAAAATATAAGATTCTCTAATAAAAATACACAAATACATAACCTGCACTATAGTAACTTTGATGCATAAAATTTAAATGACAAAAACAAAAAGGGTAAATCTATGTTAACGGGTACACAATACATAAAGAATAATTGGTGACAACAATAACAAAGTAGAGGTAGAAGAGGGTATGGGGGAATAAATGGTGATGGAAGGAGACTTCACTTGGGGTGGTAAACAAATAATACAATATATAGATGATATATTAATAAAGTTGTACACCTGAAACCTATGTAATTTTATTAACCAATGTTGCCCCAATAAATTCAATAAAAAAAGTAGAGGTGGGAACTGTAAAGGAGTAGAGTTCTTAATGCAATTGAAGTTGTTACCAGTTTAAAATAGAATGCTATAATTTTAAGATGTCTTATATAACTGCAATGATGCAAGTGAGCTTGCACACACACACACCCCTACAGAATATACACAAAAGGAAATGAAAGGGAACCAAAGCATATCACTAAAAACAAACAAAAAACCCAAAACAAAGACACAAATGGAGGCAGTAAGAAAGGAAAGGAGGGACAATAAAGCTACGAGACACAGAAAACAAATAAACAAAATAGCAATTTTTAGTACTTCCCTATTAGTATTTATTTTAAATGCTAAGGAATTAAACTCCCCAATCAAGACATAGATTGGCTGAACAGATTAAAAAACAAAACACCTCAAATCAACAACTTTACACCTCAAGAAATTAGAAAAAGAATAAACTAAACCCAAACTAGCAAAAGAAAATTAAAAATAAAGATTAGAGCAAATAAAGAAATCAGCAAAATAACCCTGGTTAGTTTGGCTCTAGAGTGCTGGCTCATGGACCAAAGGGTCCCAGGTTCGATTCTTGGTCAAGGGCATGTACCTCAGCTGCGGGCTTGATCCTGGGCCCCTTCGGGGTGAGTAGGGGAGGCAATCAATCAATGTGTCTCTCTCACATTAATGTTTCTCCTCTCTCTCTCTCCAGCTCTTCCCTCTCTTTCACTCTCTCTAAAAATCAATGGAAAAATATCCTTGAGTAAGGATTAACAAACAAAACCAAAAAAAAGAAAGAAAGAAAAAGGAAATGAGCAAAATAGAGACCAGAAAAACAAAAGAAAATAAATCAATAAAACTAAGAGTTGGTTTTCTGAAAAGATCAACAGAATTGACAACTCTTAGCTAGATGAATTAAGAAAAAAAAAAAAAAAGAGAGAGAACACTCATATAAAATCAGAAATTAAAGACAGGCCATTACAACTGATGCCACAGAAATAAAAATGATTATAAGAGAATACTATGAACAGTTATACACCAACAAATTGGGTAACCTAGAAGAAATTAATAAATTCCTAGAAACACAGAAACTACCAATATCAAAACATGAATAGAAAATCTGAACAGCCTGGGCCAGGAGGCTCAGTTGGAGAATCATCCTGTACACCAAAAGGTTGCAAGTTCGATTCCAGGTCAGGGCACATACCTAGGTTGTGGGTTTGATCCCTGGTCAGGGCATGTAAGCGAGGCAACCAATCAATGTTTCTCTTACATCAATGTTTCTCTCTCTCTCCTTCCCTCCCTCCCTTCCGTTCTCTCTAAAAATCAATAATTTAAAAAAACCACACACATATCCTCGGGTGAGGATTAAAAAAGAAAGACAATCTGAACAGTAAGGAAATGAATGAATAATCAAAAACCTCGCAACACAGAAATGCCCAGGACAAGGTGGCTTCCCTGTAGTGTCTACCAAACATTTAAAGAAGAATTAATATCAATCCTTCTCCCCATCTTCCAAAAGACTAAAAAGGAGTGAACACTTCCAAGCTCATTATATGAGGTCAGCTTTACTCTAATACTAAAGTCAAACAAGACACCTCAAAAATAAACCCCAAAACAAAATCAACAAACAAAAACTACTGACCAATATCCCCAATTTTGAATGTTGATGCAAAAATCCTTTAAAAATTACCAGCAAATTGAATTTGAAAGCACATAAAAGGATTATACACCATGACCAAGTGGGGTGTATTCCTGGAATGCAAGGATAGTTCAATGTATAAAAATCAGTATAATACACCACATTAACAAAATCCACATGATCACCTTAATTAATACACCAAAAGCATGACAAAATTTATCACCTTTTCATGATAAAAACATTCAATAATCTAGGAATAGAAGAAAACTACCTCACGATAATAAATTCCATTTGTGAAAAGCCCAGTGAACATCATATTCAATGGTAAAAGACTGAAATCTTCTCTAAGATCAGAACAAGACAAAGATGCCTGCTCTCACCACTTCTTTTCAACATAGTAGTGGAAGTCCCAGCCAGAGCAATCAGTTAAGGAAAAGAAAAAAAAGGAATCTGAAGTAGAAAGGAGGAAGTAAAATTATCTCTATTCGCAGATAAAATGATCTTATATGTTAAAAACACTAAAGATTCCACAAAAAACTGTTAGAATAAACTAATTCAGCAATGTCATGGGGTACACAATCAACACACACACAAACCAGTTGTGTTTCTACCTACTAAAAATAAACAATCTGAAAATGAAGTTAAACAAATAAGTCCACTTATATAGCATCATAGAATAAAATATTTAGCAATAAACCTAAACAAGGAAGTAAAAGGCTTATAACAAAAAAACTACAAAACATTGCAGAAAAAAAACAAAAGACAACAGAAATCAATAGAAAGATATCCTGCATTCATGGACTGGAAAACTTAATATTGTTTAGATGTCCATACTACCTAAAGCAATCTATGGATGCAATGCAACCCCTATCAAAATCCCAATGGCAATTTTGCAGAAATAAAAACATTCATTCTAAAATTTGTATGAAGGGACCTCAAATAGTAAAAACAATTTTGGAAAAGAACAAAGTTGGAAGACTCACATTTCCTGATTTCAAAACATATTACAAAACTACAGCAATCAAAACAGTGTGGTATTGGCATCAAGACAGACAAATAAACCAATGGAACAGAACAGAGATCCTAGAAATAAACTCTCACATATATGGTCATATGATCTTTGACAAGGGTGTCAAGGCTACACAATGGGGAAAAGACAGTCTCTTCAACAAATAGTGTTGGGAAAACTGGATATGCATAAGCATAAGAATGACGCTGGACCCTTATATTACTCCATATACAAAAATGAAGTAAAAATGTATTAAAGACCTACATGTAAAACTTAAAACTACAAAATTCTTAGAAAACAGAGGAAAAGTTTCATGACATTGGACTTTGCAATGGTTTCTTGGATATGACACCAAAGTGCAGGCAACAAAAGCAAAAACAAATAGGACTACATCAAACTTAAAAACTTTTCTGCATCAAAGGACACAATCAACAGTGAAAAGACAGTCTATGGAATGGAGGAAAATATTTGCAAATTATATATCTGACAAGGGATTAATATCCAGAATATATAAAGAACTCCTACAACTCAACAATTAAAAATAATCTGTTTCAAGATGTGCGAAGAACTTGATAGACATATATCTAAAAATGATACACAAAGGCCAACAAGCATAAAAAAGACTCTCAACATCACTAATCATAAAAATATGCAAATAAAAACCACAATGAGGTACTGTAAATACAAAATACTACCTCACACCCAATTAGTTTGGCTACTATCAAAGTAACAGAAAATAAAAAGTGTTGCTGAGAAATTGGAACCCTTGTATACTGGTGATACAACTGCTATGGAAAACAGTGTGGAGGCTTCACAAAAAATTTACAATAGAAAACGCCACATAATCCAGCAATCTCACTTCTGGGTATATATCCAACAGAATTAGAAGCAGAGTCTCAAAGAGATATTTGCATGCCCATGTTAATAAAAACACTCTTCACAATAGCCAAGGACATTACGTTAACTGAAATAAGCCAGTCACAAAAAGACAAATACTGTATTGATTCCACTTATGTGAGTTCTCTAACGTAGCCCAATTCATAGGAACAAAAAGTAGAATGGTAGTTACCAGAGACTGGAGGGAGAGGGAAAGGGGAGTTGTTGTTGAATGGGTACAGAGTTTCAGTTTTGCAAGATGAGAAAGTTCTGGAGACCTGTTTCACTTAATACTACTGAATGCATACTTAAATATGGTTAAGATGGTAAATTTTATGTTATGCGTTTTTTTACCACAATAAAAAAAAGGAACAAGGAAAAGATGCCTTCTCTTTCAGCTTCTGAATATTATTCTGTGGGGACACAAGGTCTGAAATCACTATAGCCATCTTGTCATCACCAGGGAAGTATCAGATACACTGAAGAAGGTAAAGCACAAAGAAAAGTCATGAGTCTTTGAGTCCATGATTCAAATATGACCTTGGAGTTACTCTACTTTAGGAATTCTTATGTGGCATAATATTTGTTTCTTATTACTTAAGCCACTTGTTTTCTGTTTTGAAATCAAAAGCACCTAACAGATGTGTTATTACTGCCAAATGGATGCTTGAAAAAGCTCTGCTAGAATGTAACTTTGGGAGGGCAGGGGGTTTTTCTTTGTTAGCTTTGTTCACTGGCACACAGAACAGTGCCTGGCATATAGTAGGTGCTCAACAAATATTTGGTAAATGAATATAAAGAAAGTGTAGGATCCCTCTTCCCCAATGTCCTCCATCTCCTACTCATCCCCCTCAGGGCTCAGTTTAAATGTCACTTCTACAGGGAGGTTGTTTCTGAAATCCCCAAATCTCTTCCTATCTCCCCTAAAACTTTGGTTAGGGCCTCCAGTAATAAGCAGTCATTTTCCACTGTCAGCACTTTTCATAGCATGCTTACCTACCTACTGGGGTAATAATAATAATTAGTGAATGTCTCTCCCATTGGACTGTAAGTTCCATGAAAGCAGAGACTGGGTCTTGTTCATGACTGTAGCCTCAACCCCGAGCCCAGTGCTTAATACAGTGCGGTACTCAAAATACTTTATTTCAAAGATATTCAAACTCCATCTTGGCTCTAAATAAAAACTTAAAAATCCAACTTATAAATCAGTCTTTTTGATGATTTAGAATATTGAAAGTTGCTTGTACCTAGGTTGAAGGACCAAAGAGGGTATTATTTAAAAAGTTTTCAATAACTTGGATGAGTGAGGGGCTTCTTCAAATTAAGTCATGGCATTTGGGGGGGGGGGGTTCAAAAGCCCCCAATATGGTAAATAATTCATAAGTGAAAGGTTAGAGTTCCTTATGAAATCTGAGAATAGATCTGTAATGTTTTTCTTTGATGGACTACTTTCCTCTTTTTGGCTTTGGAACACTCTTATTTGACATTATTTGCTAAATTAATTTTATATTCAATTCATCCTTCTGTGCTTCTCTATAAAACTGCCACCAATGCCCATAAATAGATTTTGCCAAACTGACACAGTCTTTTTTATTATATTATCTATTCCATTACCATTAATCTGTTTGTAATACAAAGAAAATTGCTTTAGTAAAAACTGTATTTGCCCTTCAAATTGGTACAACACTCAGGAATTCTAAGAAGTACTTTGTAAAAGAAAAGGAAGTGGGGAGACAGAAGGAAAAAGAGAGGAAGGTGCAGAAAGTAGCCCCCTGATACTAGTTTCTACTACTAAAGAGAATGTAATCCACTTTTAAGAGCACAGGTGGTTTAGGAACAGGTGACAAAAGCCTTTCCCAGAGCAGGGATGGTTTTGATGACAACGCACATTCTATACCTGCACCGTCCAGTGTGGTTGTCATTAGCCAAAAATGTGACTGTTCAAATCTGAATAAATTAAAATAATATATATTCAGTTCCCGCACGGCACTAGTCACACTTCAAGCACTCAGCAGCAACAGGGCTATCGCACTGAACAGTGCAGATAGAGAACATTTCCATCACTGCGTGACGCTGGACAGCACAGGTCTATGTATTCCTACCGTAATTACTACCACTGAGCAATGAAAGCATTAGGATCACCAGGAGAAACATGTGGAGAAACTGCCATATTATAAATGCATAAGATCTGTTTCCCTATTGTATTTTCTTTAGAAACACATTTCTCAAAAATAATCATTCCCAGCTCCCTTTACTTAGTAATAGAGTTACAGCTTTTAAAAAACTTCGTGGGTTTGATGAATGCAAACCTACTCTTACTCTCTGCCGAGTGATCCTGACATTGCACGCAAACTTACAGCTTGGTCTCGTCAGCCTCTTTATGCATGATTTCAAGAATCATGCGGCACGCTTCAGAGGTCCCCTCCGGGGTGGCGTGGATGGTGACGGGCTTCTCCGCGGACCCAGAGTTTTCCTTCCTATGGATGTCTACCCTGTGGGAAAAGAATCAGGAACCATAGCACACCACCCTCTGGGACAGGATCCTGGTTAGTCCCAAGACAGCGCCACACCAGCCAACGTACAGCAAGGACACTCAGACAAGAAGCTGTCGTCAGCATGTTTGCAAACAATGCCATTCTCCAAGAAGGTGGCAGGCAGTGCAGGGGGTCTTGTGCCAAACTTGAATTCTTTGCAGCTCCATTTAGAAGGAAATATTTCTGACAGGCGTGCTGTGGGGCAGAGGCACCATGCCAACTCGGTAATGGAGCCAGTTTGGTAAATGAAGTATTTTGTGTCATCTTTCAAATGATCGTAGGAATGAAGAGTAAAGTGAGCAGGGTAATACTGCACATTGGCACAGTGCCACTCTCGGAACTGATTGCAGCTTTTAACAGCCATGTGTTAATCCAAATCCAAACACCAAATTCAAGCAAGCTTTATATACTTGAGTGTGGATGGAAAACAGAGGCATGCCCTCTCTCTGCCTAAGTTTTTTGGTTTCCCTGCCACTGGCAGCCTGCCTTCTTCCAGGCTCTTAAAGCTAATGGCTCAAAAGCTTGATGACTTTATCAGGCTTCTTGGGGTAGTGGTGGCCCTACTTGTTTTTGTTAACTTTCAAAATCACATAATTGATTGTATCCCCTTTTATTCTTGCTGTTAGAAAGCCCAGATCCCAGTGTTTGGCCTACACTTTGAGAACTAACCTCACTTTTATTTAAACTTGTTGCACTTTTAAAGCTACTTTAAACAATTTTTGGAACAAAAAGACATATAAGTAAAAATCACTTTCACAGTGAAGAAAACTTGGAGGGGGGAAAAGGGCTGATTTTAAAATAAAAGGATCACCAGATAATACTTCCTTTCTCTACTATCTCTTTATTTCACTCCTAGGATAATAAACTCTGAGACTCAAATAAATTTCCATTATTTGGGAATAACTCAGATACTTTAAGAAAAATTGTGTTTTCTCTTTCATGTTACAAGGCCTGAGTAAAATGCACAAGGCATGTAAGTAATACTTGTCAGTAGTTTGGTGCTTTGCAGTGTAAGTGCTTTCATAGTAATTATTACATTCAGTCTGCCTGCCTGTCCCAATTCTTACAACAGTCTTTGCTTATAGAAGCAGCAATTGATGCTCAGAGAAGTGAATACTTTTTCCAGCTCATAAAGCAATTAAGTTGTAAAATGTGAACATGGGGCTTTGTTTTGAAGTCATTTTACTCACTACAATTCCTACTACCAGTTCAGTCTCCTTGAACAGACAAGAACCTAAATATAAGGCTAATGTACTTCATTTCTGGCTCAGTATAGCAATGACTCACCCACTTCCTTTATGCAGCTATTTGTGAGCCTACCAAGATGGTCTCAAAGAATGACTACCACCCAGTGCTCTGACTCAGGAGGGGAGGTAAGAGCTAAGATAAGTGGGTTCTAGGATCCTACAAAGTTCAGCTCCATACCTCTACTGTTTTAGAAAGAGATGCATTAACAAGCATTAGTTAGCTTGTAAGAACAATTCTAGGCTGTGAGGTCATTAGTACCTTTATGAACCCCTCATGTTTCAGGGTATAACCCTTTAGGCAGCTGGCATGAAAGATCATTAAAGCCCCCAGCTTTCTGTTAGTCCGTTAATAGTTCTGTTTAGAGAAGCCACCGTCCCATACAGCATAGCCCCCACTGCTGATGCAAGCAATAGCAGCTTGAGGATGGCTGGGGCCCGCCAGCACTCAGGGGACCCCTCAGAAGGAAGCAAAGGAAGCCCCGGAGGCACGTACCGGGACTGGGTCTGCTTAGTGATGTTCTTTATGGTCAAGCCCTCCTTTCCGATGATGGCACCAACAAACTGGGTGGGGACCAGGATCCGAAGCGGGAAATCAATCTGTCTGGCCTGAGAAGAGCCCCCAGGGGCGTGGCCTTGCTCCCTGGAAGAGTGGTCCCCACGCTGGGCTCGATGAGGGGGCGAAGGGGAGCTCACCTCTTCATCCGGGATGTAGGAAATCTTGAAGGAGTAGTTCTCAAACTGATGCCCGCTTAGCTTCTCGATGGCTCTGAAATGCAGCAGAAACAGGCGAGCTTTGTTAGACAGCAGCATCAGAGAAGACCCTCCCGGCCAGGGGACTGGTTCACTCACTCTCATTCACTACTTGTCAGTGTGAGTGCCATTAATCCTCACATTGTGCGTTCTGCTTTTTTTTCACCAACCAAAGCTGTCTCCCTTTTATCAAAGACTCTGTTAATACTGGTATAAAATTATAACTTTAAAAATCATTTTTATCATAATACATATTATTGAAAATTCATATACATACAACCACAAATAAGAAAACGTCCTAACATCTATATCTATCTTATTTTTCTTAAATATATTATTTTAAAAATAAATTAATATCATACATACTTTTTTCTAACCTTTAAAAAATCATTAATACTCTAAACATTCTCCAAGTCATCAAATATCCTCCAATTTAATTTTTGCTGTTTATTTAACATTCTATTGGTTTACCATAGTTTTTGCAAATGATCCTCTATTGTGTGTGTGTGTGCGCATATGCATATATATATGAAATCCAATCTTTTACTATTATATACAGTGTTGCCATGGGCATCTTTGCTACTACAAATTTGCACAAAGAATAAATTCCTAGTGGAGCTGCTGGATCAGAGAGTATGCAGAATTCTAATTAGTATCACCCAGTGTCCATCTGGAAAGGTTTCAACATTTATTATCCTATAGCAGTTAAGAGAGCATTTGTTTCCTTGAGTCCTCAAAAGCACAAAACATTATCTAAAATATTAATTTAATACAGAATAATATCCCACTATTACATTTTAAAAATTATACATGAAGTGAAACAATTTTTTTTACATGTTTTTGGCAGTATGTGAAAACAGTAACCCTACTGTACTAGGTTAATGTTTAGGGTTTGTGAATTTATTACAAAGCAGCAACTTTTGAATTCAATAAAAGCAACAAAGTAATGTGTACAGAGGTTCTACCTAAGTGGAAGCTGAACAAAAACTCTTAAGGTGAGTTATTGGTTTAGATCCTGCTCACATATGTGTGCCGAAGTCAGTAGCAAATGAATTATTGCCTTTTTCAATGCAAAATTAACTTTTTGAGAACTACTGGTATGAAAATGGGTTAAATATGTCTTCATGTGTTGAAACTTTGAAAAAAGAAATAACTCTATAACCCTGGGATGTATAACCAAGGCTATGCCACATCCATGAAGCATGACCACACATGACCATAGCCTAGTCACAATGACCTCACAGGCACTTCAAGAACCTCCTATAAAAAGGAACTTATGAGAGAGATTCCAAAGTCACAGCAGACTGAGTGGAAGCTACCCTGACACTCTCCTGGGACCAAACTGGAATTATAACTAAAATACAGAAAAACCACTCTGAATAATCAGCTGCAACTGAAGACTAGCTGGACCCTCGTAACCAAGGAGAAAAAGTAGAGACTGCACAGAGACTGGTAGGAACTGCAGAGGTGCGAGAGGGGCTCTCACAGGCAGCAGCTGAAGGTCCGGAGGGATATCTCAGCCGTGGCGAGTTCCCACTGAGGACTCTGGGGTCTAAATCCCAAGTTGGGCTCCCAAGCCCAGTGCACCAGAAGTGAGAAAGGTACCCACAAAAACATCTGGCTGTGAAAAGCAGCAGGATTTCTGTCTGCCAAGAGAGACAGCTGGAAATGCAGGCACCCACTTAAGGAGCTAAGAGGAAAAGTTTCGTGTGTAGCCACTCACCTTGGGCTCCAGCCGAGGTAGAGTGGACTAGAGCAGTGTGAGGAGAATCCAGTGGGGATGACTGAGGGAATAAATCTCAGAGGGCACCCTTCTGGACCCCAGTTCCGAGTCATTCCCCTATATGGCGGAGGGCATCTTTCTCGGGCAGACCTTTACCTTCCAAGCAGCTTTTGCTGG